CAGTTTTTACATGCAAAGATATCAATGAATGTTCAAAATCAAAAAATCCTTGCTATGGTCAGTATCACAGTAATCACGAGCCATACTGTGAAACACGATGGGATCCTATCGATGTTTTTGTCACAACGGTTATGAACACAAACAGTATTGGAGTAATATCCTCTGCCGGGATATCGATGAATGTTCTCAGATTCGTCATCTCTGTAACCAGCCTTCCAATCAAGGGTCTGGAAAATGTGTGAACACTCCTGGGTCCTACTATTGTAAATGCTCCAGTGGATATTCGGCTACTCCCACATCTAATGGCACGTTATGCCGAGGTAAGGATTACAACAGAGGAGGAGTTCTCCGAAAGATGGGGGATGCAGCACCATGAGGTGTATGGCGGCCATACAATTGTGGGAGAAGGTTTTCGTTGCCCAATTTTTCAAGTCATACGTGATTTGTTGACAAATCATTAGTTGTGATCCGAAGCATTGTAATTGTACTGCTTTAGATCCTTATAACTAATACAAGTAACTACCAATGGATTCGATTTATGAACAACTGTCCGCCACTGTAATTCATGCCTGGTCAGACATTCAACGACCTAACTCCCACATGTAGTTACAATACATATACTATCTGCTAGACCTTCCAATTTACTTCCTTTTGAAGTACTTGTAAGGTAAGCTTGGAGAAATACAAAAGAGGGGAAGGTGAGCGGGGCGGCTAAATTTCTCAGTTCTCTGTCAGTAAGGTGCCTACTATTCGCTCTTTTGTACCGTTTATTGTCTAGTTTAAGTGATGAACGACTGCTCATAACTCGTATCCATGTGTATCTGACCTTTTTCGCATTAATTCGTGCAGTGGGACTTCTTACGTATGGCAGTGTCGGCTTTTGATCGCGCAGTCAAAGGGAAAACGCATTAGAGCTCGTTTGGAGATACAGATTAGTCCTAACAATGTGAACTTTAAAAGTGCTTGAGCATTCCATATACAACTGTAATCTGATACTGTATCAATATTATTTTAAATTGTTCCTCATCTTAGTATCTGAATCTAAGTATCCGACTAGTACTTGACTCAAAGATATTTTTCTTTCCTGGGTGATGATTCAGCTCAAATTGCCGACGCAGCCATTTTGCTGCACTCTGGGCGAAAGTGTGAGCATTGTTATATACGTTTGTCCCTGCTCATGTACAAATTCAGTTGGACTGACTTCACTGTATCCGAATTAAGCCATCTCTCTTATGTATGGTAACGATAGAGAGCGGGTTTCAAAGGTGTGAATCCAGTGTGTAACATGGCATTGGCTACTTTTGCAGTACAAATATAAAGCACATGGGGAAATGTTACAAGACTTTTGAGAGAAGCATTGAGATTGAACTTGTACAAGGCAGTTACATGAGCATGGGATAATATCGGAGTTTGAGCAACACAAGAATACCTGGATAGCTTCACGTCGGAATGAGGATCTTTGATAATGGCCATTTTCTTCTTCTTCTTTCTTTTTTTTCAAAAGAACACAGCTTGACCTTGTAACCTCTTTTCCTGTTTCCTGTAGTCTTGTCAACTGCGTCACCAACCCCAACACAATTGCACAAGGACTTGAAAACCGTTGCAGCACGAACATCTCTCCGAAATACTACAGCTACTTCAACATCAGCAACATATCTCGGCATTACGCAAGTGCCAAGGTCACCATCAGGAAAAGTACGGAACGACAAGACTTTGCTGGTGACTCTGTCAACTATTAGTGTAATACTTATTGCTTTGCTGGTGGCGCTTACACTCCGAAAGAGAGAGAATATATTGAAAATATTTCGGCGCAATTCAATCGCACTACGGCCCACAGCTGTTCATGGACGTGTTAACATGGTTCACGCAGACCGCACAGAGACGGAAATGTCCCTTCAACAGCCGAATCGAACGCTCCCGACATACACGGGAACAGGAGAGGAATATACTACCGTTTCCGTTGCCATTGGGATTGACCGGATTGAAGATCATACATATTCCCTTTCCACGCCACCCACCGCCGAATCCGCTGCTACTGCAGGGATGCACTCCCAGCCTCCGAACCGAATGGAAAACGTCTACACACTCGGTGAAGGATTGCCAAACGAATACGCTAGTGTTCCTGAACAAAAGCAGCAGAATATGGAGTGTGAATACTCTCTTGCCACAGCCCCGAATGCTGGCTCTACTACTAATGCAGCGAGGTACTCCCAGCTTTGGAATCGAATAGAAAACGACAACATAAACAAAGAATCGCCAAACGAATATACTTGTGTTCCAGACCATATGGATCAGAGTGTGGAATATACATTATGCCCTTGCCACTGCTCCCGGCAATGAATGTATTGATAACACGGGGAGACGTGCAGGCGCTGTGTCAAGCAGCTTGATGGGGAGCACAGATGGTTATGGCTACGCTTTAGCCACGGCTCGCACTTCTTTTCCCAACATCAGGACCACACCATGCAGCTCCAGATACACGTCTGATCCAACGTATGTGTCTACCACCTCGGCTAACAATCAGACAGCAATGGTGACTAGGAAAGATCGCCAAACAAACTACTTCGAAGTAAATGGTTGGAATGGATAGACCTCCTGTCAATGACATTATGGCTGGCATGCCACCTCCACAGCCAAATGATTCCTATCGCGTGACATGTTCAGAGCAAAAGGGTAGCATTACTTCTCAGGCGAAAGAAAAGGTACCAGGGAATCCATCAGATTATCTTTCTCCCTCCGAATGTCTGTTACCCTAGCTATTCAAAGAAGTGATAGCCAACCTTTTGGCACATCTTCCACCCTTTCAATGCTGTTTTCTCACGACCAATTGCTTTCCTCCAAGTATACTATCACTTTCACTCAATATTCCGACACCAAACTCGCATAGGAGGAAACAAACAAGGGAATGGAACAAGGCCGAACGAAAAGGACAGCAATTGAATGGAGTGCGACGGATGCTAAACGTCAGTAGGAGTTGGGAACATACTTCCCTTTGCTGTTTTGTTATCCATGTGTATGTGTGTGTGTGGGAGAGTTTTGTGCCTAGAGCATTCAGCACTGCTTCTACAACTGGTGCAACATTTTTCTTGTTTATAATATTATGCCATTGCGGAGTGCTTTCACATTGCAAAGCTGTATGAGCGGATAGTATTTTCCTGTGTAGATCTGTAAGACGTACAATGCATTTTTGACCATTCCAGACACTTACAACAACAACTACCAAGTACATGTGTAATGTTTTTCGGGACTTTGAAACTCGTGATCTTCACAGCCATATTCCATATGACGTGTTGTCTTTAGCATTGATCTCAGCTACTGCCCACAAACGCTCGAACGGAGCGTAATGAGTCACCATGCAAGTGTTAGCTTCGTAGAAGTACTTTTGTCTATCCTCCGAATCCAACTGCACACCACTCCCAATTCGCATCATCAACTTCTTATTTCATTGGGGACTTGCATTTACAGTCTCAAATCGCTATGGAAGAGCAAGAGAGCAGCTGGGCAATGGTTAATGGGCAGCCAGTACAAACAGGCGGCTGAGATGTTCGATTTGCTGATACTTGTTTGCAAGCTGGATCAAGTCACCTCATCCTCACGCTGAATCCTTAGCTCGTGTTATGGGAATCTAAACATGGCTGCATCACCAAAGGTGTCAAATTTGCAAGACTTCCCCATGGGCAGCAGGAAATTGTACATAGTACGTAGTATCTGAGTTAACTTTTATCTCAAAATACTTTGGTTTGCATCATGACACCAGTGCATGGAACAATATGCATTCTAAGCAAGAGTCTGCCTGTGTACGTACTAAAATGAGCTCTACTGTATTGTTAGAGACGCTAACCAAGCATGGTGCACAGATGGTGAACAACACGATTCAAATCAAGGCCAAGCGGATGCAGTTTCACTGACGCCCAAGGAACTGTATAGCCATCAGTAGCCATTTGAACAGCCATTGTACATGCTGCACCTAAAATAAAATCATAATGATACCGAATACAAGTGAAACACAGAGCCATTGATCCTGTATGTATGGATACGTGTAAAATCCACCGTCACTGAGCTGCGGAAAAGCAATCCGAGAGCAATCAGCTCTGCTTACATTTGTAACCGCTTTGGGTGAACTGAAGCACACTAGCTATCAGACTTGATTTGTGTATGGTCTGTCCGATTCTCATCCTGTGGGACGCGTGCTTTGCTTTGCTCAATCCTAGCGGAAACTATGACATTCTCTTTGCAAAAACTCCTCTAAATGCACTTCAAATCTTAACCAAGATCGTTACGTGCCAAATACACTGTATATACGCTAAACCTGCACACAGCCATCATCCGTGCATACGTTCACCCTCTCTCTCACACGTTTTAACAGTCTCTTCATCTATGTCTCAGGCTTTTTATAGATTAGTCCTACTACCGGTCCGGCCGTGACTCGATGATCCCAATCACTACCAAGTCTAAGACACCATACTGCATACAACTAATTATCCTGAGCAGTCCATTTATGGTAATCAAACAAGCATGCACAATCCGGTGACTGACCTCAACATGTTGCCATCTGTTCAGGACATTTCATTAGACACCATGACTCGCTGGTGTGCCAAACAACTAGAGAGAGGTAGTGCAAGTCTTTGGCACGCCAAAAGACACATTGGGCGAGGTCATCCTTGACAGCGGCTTCTAATGATGTGTCGAACACATCCATCTTATTTCTTTGTGGGATGTGTGCCAGCCAATTTTGTACAAGTTTTGGAAGAGAACAGCTGGTACTACTATGAATAACAGAAATGACGCTACATCTGTCGTGTGTAGAACCACTGGGACCTTGTAGTTACTTGCATATCAGTGCTAGCGTGGCACACTGGATCTGCAGTAGTGTATCATTGGTAACATCCACACAGGTATATCAAGAAACGTTCTCACATCCGTGTTGCCACCGGCTGATAGATTCTATCAGGCATGCTGGTGACCTGCAAAGTGCTAATCGTCTTACGCTGATTGCCCTTCTTAACACCAATGCATAGCCGGTAGCAACACGGATGTGAGAACGATTCTTTTCTAGCATATCGCAGGCAAAGTGCATCTTTATGCCCGACTCATATCATTTCGTGCACAACGTAACGTTGGAAAGATACACAGTGGAGAGGCTTCATACTGATCAGTGCTATTTTGATGAAGGTATTCTTCAGGTTGGCTTCGGTGTCGGCAAGTGGCAGTCTAAGATTGTTTTGATCACATCGTGGAAGGATTGCCTTCCCACCTCGTACCCAATCCTGCCCCATGTTGGCTTGACCTGGATTGGAACGTCGTCTCGGTCCTGATACTTACATAATTGTGTGATAATGGTGCACTTGTCAGGTAATGATGGTAGATAGTGTCACTGCTACATTGACAGCGAATATATCCGCCCCAAACAATTCATTTTGTTTTCCTCCAGCCCACCATTGTTATACTTGACTGGTCTACACAACTCACTTTCTTAAAAGTCATAAAGTGTATGACCACCACTTGTTGATTGCATACGTTATACAACTAGCAATGTACATACATGTACGTATATAGCTAGCGGTAGATTAATACTTTGCTTCGTGTTGTCCTTGCTGTCCTCTGCATTACAGTCTGTGTCCAGACCAAATACAGTTGGATCGTGCTAGTGACAACACTGGTTGTGATCACAACTGAGGTATGGTGTTTGACGCCAAGATGCATTCCAGAAGCACATCACCAATATACTGACGAAGGCAGGAACGGGGGATTCGAAACATTCAAGTGGTATACACCTGGTACACTATCAAATTCCTACCTCGGCCACAATCGTGTTTATAGCACACACTTCGAGTTTAACGGGAGCTGCACTATTAAAGCAATAGCCATATCATTCACGGCACACGGAAATTGTCGCTTCTCAGTTTCGTCTAAGTCGTTTGACCACATTGGTTGGTCAAATGCAAGGCCAGTTTGGTTCAGCCATAGTAGTAAATATGGATCCAGTCACAATCTCAATTTCACCGTGCAATCATCACATGGGTTGCAAATCAAATTCACAGTCGAGAGTCCGCTATCACGTCCTATCAGCCAGTGTGCGTTTCAACTCAATGAAGCACGTGAACCGTACATCGCCTTGCAGGTTCAAGAAGGTATGTAATTTTAACTCCTTCGTTAGTTAGGAAATCTTTCCATTTAGGCGGGCGCAGTATACCACAGTTAGTCGCTTTTCTAGAATGTGTTTTATTGAACACCTTGAAAGATGTTCAGTACAGTGTACAGCAATTTTACTGAGTCATTTTGGTACATTATTTATATGTACAGTCATGTATATTCCTGCTGCTAAATGTATTTAAATGTACGTGGACCAGTGCCCTCTGTATCATTTGCATGAAGTAGAACGGTCATTTCGAACTACTTGAATATCCGAAGGCGAAAAATAGAGAAAGTATAAACTCATCATTGGAGATATGCTTGCAAACCTTTATTTCTAAAATGACCTCTACAATACTGCTAGTAACTTTGAAAATCTTGCTCTTGGTTGTCCCATCTAAGCACCCGTTTTTCTGGTTTTTTAGAACGCATATCTGTGGTGTAGCATTGCTCGAAATCCTTTTTCTTTCCATTCTTGGGGGTTCGTATAAAATGAGGTCTCAATCTCATAGATTCGTATGTCAGATTGCAGATATTAGTGGATTAGCACTGTCCTGCTCGGAATCTTTCGATTTCCTTTATTGAGGTTTAGCATAATATAACAGTAGTCTCGCTCTCGTTGGAAACAGTGGTGCACAAGTTGTGCCTTACAGTCTACCACCTATAGCAGATGTTGCCCAACGTGTAATGTCTTACTACTCCATGTCAGTTTGTTGCTAGATTGTCTACGCATAACAGTTCAATATCTGATGTAGTCGGTGGACTCTTATGCATAACTTGTGGCCTGATGTTTCCCATGTTTTCAATTAATAATATTTCCTTGGCTCTCCATTCGAGTTCATTCTCAAAGATTCGTAAACCAGAATTGAAGATGTAAGCTAGATATCCACTCGCATAATAAGATAAAATACCAATGGGATCCGCAGTGTGATAATCACCTGTGGTCCTGAAACCAGTGATTATACATGTACTGGTACTTGAAGTACATATGGTTGATAAATATTGTGGTAAAGTAGAAGTAGAATGAAGTTGAAGACACCACTGCAGCTGTACTTATGGTTGATAAATATTGTGGTAAAGACACACCTGCCCACACACGCTCTCTAAGCTGCAAAGTTCTGGCACAGTAGAGCTCTGTGCCAGAACTTTGCAGCTTAGAGAGCGTGTGTGGGCAGGCGTGTGTTAACCGCCATATTGCCAGGTGTGTCTTTACCACCATATTTATCAACCATAAGTACAGCTGCAGTGTTGTCTTCAACTTCATTCAACTTGAAGTACATGTAACTTAAAATGAATCGGAAGCGTTGCGTTCCATGTCTCGTGCATGATCAACTATTGTGAACAATTTAATTAATGACTGCCCAGCATTTTTCAATATTCCCTTCAGATCACGATGAATGTTCAGCATCGAATCATCTCTGCTATGGATATTACAACACTTCATATTGTACAAACACGTGGGGATCCTTCAGCTGTACGAGGACTTGCCAGCATGGATATCGACATGGATATAGCTATATTTGCAACGACATCAATGAATGCGCTTGGTCTTCTACGCCTTGCTATGGATATATCCGCAGGGATAATGAGCCTAACTGTGCGAACACTCCTGGAGCCTATCAGTGTATTTGCCGGCAAGGTTATGAGATTGTCAAGAAGGGACACCGATTTCAATGCCAGGATATTGATGAATGCTCTCTTACACCTCACCACTGTGCTGCGTACTCTGCGCAAGTTACAGGGAAATGCGTGAACACTCCAGGGTCCTACTGTAACAGTCCAACTAACTTCAGTAGTCATTCTTGGAATAAGCAATGATCCTTGCCATAATGCATTCTTATATACATGAACAAGCAATGATGGACATAACACCTAACAGCAGCAGCGTGATAATAGCAGGTGATAAGTGTATCCTATTCCTAGTGTTAGTAGTAACAGTGAATCTGTTACACCATTCCCCCCTCTCAACTGTCAGAACAGTACCAATTCGAAGGAACAGTTATGGTAACTAATGATCATGCATGGATATGTGGAATGCATGGTAGCCGAAAACAACACTGATGAACTCAAGATCCAGTGCATGTCCTCTGCAAATAACGCCTGGCTGGCAGGGAAGCACTATCCTTATCATGCAGAATGCTACATTTCTATTGCAACACGTAGGAACTAGCAATACAACTGTGGCTGCCAATTAAATAGCAATTTATGAAAAACGGTCCAGGTAGGTTTTCAGCGGAATAATAGCGTTTCCTGCTTCATCCATCAAGTATTCCTCCGGCTCCCAGGTGGCATCTCGGTAGCCCTTCCATTTCACTAGGTACTGCGTGCGCCGTCCTCTCTTCTTGTGCGACAACACCTTTTCGACAATGTACCGCGTATGGCCATCCGCATCGGTTAGGGGTGGAGGTGCCGGCTGAGTACGGCCCGGTATCTCATTGCCATGGTACAGCTTGAGGGCAGCAATATTGAACACTGGATGGGCCCGAATGATTCTTGGAAGAGCTAATCTGTACGCATTCGGGGCCACTTTCTTCTGCACCTTGAACGGCCCATACCACTTGAGCCTTAATTTGTGTGAAGGCCTGTCTCGTTCCTCGGGCGTCAGCAGGAAGTCCCTGAAGACCAACACCTCATCCCCCTCCTTCAGGGCGTCCTCCACCCGTCCTCGATCCGCATACAATGATTGCCGGGCCTGCGCCGCCACGATGGCATCCTGTGCCTCACGTAGTGCCTCTACGCGGCCATCCAGCCATGACAGCGGACCATTCGTGTCCATGCCAGCTCCAGCTTTCTGCTTCGTCAATAAGCTCGAGGGAGTAACTGGATGGCATCCATGGTTGAGGAAAAATGGCGTGTTACCTGTTGACGCTTGATCGGCATTGTTGATCGCAAACTCACATAGCGATAGGAGTTCATCCCAATTGTTTTGTCTATGGTTGACGAAAGCTCTTAGCGTATCCTCAATGACACGGTTCACACGCTCAGTCATGCCATCGGTCTGCGGGTGGTTGGCCGTGCTCATTTTTAGCTCCACGCCAAGAATACTGAAAACCTCCTTGAAGAACGCCGACGTGAATCGCGGATCTCGATCACAAACTATCGTTTTGCTCAAGCCATGGGCAGCAAACACATGATCCACGTACAATCGGGCTGCCTCCTTAGAGTCAACATGAACAGTCGTCGGGATCAGGTGCACATACTTCGTCAGACGGTCCACAAAGGTTAGAATGGCGCTATGTCCTCGGCAGGTCAGCGGCAGTGCCATGATGAAATCCATGCTGATGTCTGTCCAGGGCTGTTCGGGGACTGGAAGGGACTGCAACAGTCCTGCCTTGGTCTGGCTACCCTTTACGCGTTGGCACCGGTCGCAAGATTTAACGAAGTCCTTCACAGTACTTCTCATGCCTGGCCAATAGAAGTATCTGCTCAGCTTCAGGTAGGTCCTGTCTCTCCCCGGATGGCCGGCCGTCAGGCAATCATGATTCTGTTTGAGCAGTTGCAGCCGTACCGGACCGCGAGGAATGCAGAGGCGAGCATCGCCCGATGTTACTAGGTACAGCCTCCGGTCCACACTGTTCCAGACGTATCGCTCATGCATGGCGTCTTCGCTGCAAGCCATCAAGCGCTTGATTACTGGCGAAAGCTCTGGGTCACTATCATACCCTGCTGAGATCTGATTCGCAATTCCTTGATTCACATCCAGAGAGAACTCGATTCCATTCAGTTCCAAGTCTGGTCGACGTGACAACGGGTCTGCTATGTTACACTTCCCTGGCTTGTGATGTACCGTGTAGTCATAGTCGGCCAGGAATTCAATCCATCGAGCCTCTCTCTTGGTTAAGTTTGGTTTGGTCCTGAGGTAGACAACTCCCATGTTGTCGGTGTAGAGTTGAAAGTGGCGAAATAGGTAGACTCGCCAGCACTGCAGGGCGTACACTACAGCCAAAGTTTCTCGCTCGGCGGCCGTGTAATTCCGTTCGGCAGAAGACAGCTTTCGGCTCACGTAAGCCACAGGATGCCAGGACTGGTCCTCTGCTTGCTGCGTTAAGACTCCTGCCACAGCAAAGTCACTTGCGTCAGTCTCAACGCGGAAATCCTGACTGACGTTTGCTAGTCGCAACACTGGTGCATCCAGCAGAGCAGACTTCAATCGCTCAAATGCCTCCTGTCGAGTCTGATTCCACTCGAAGCGCACATGTTTCCCTGTCAGTGCCTCCAGGGGTTTGGAGATGGCCGAGAAATGGTTAATGAACCTTCGAAAGTAATTAGCAAATCCCAGAAACTGTCTTACGTGCGTGACCGTCGTCGGGACAGGCCAGTTATGCACGGCCTTGATCTTCTCTGGATCTGGAGAAATGCATTGGCCGTCTATCCGGTGCCCAAGAAACAGAACGTCTGTCCGGCCGAATTCACATTTAGACGGTTTGCAATATAGCTCATTCCTCCTGAGGGCGTTTAAGATGGTTCTGACATGATCGAGGTGCTCCTCCCATGATTTGCTGAATATGAGGATATCGTCTAGAAACACCACAACGAATTTACGCAGGTATGGCTGGAGGACACTGTTCATCAAGGTTTGGAATGTTGCCGGGGCATTTGTTAGGCCGAAACCCATCACTGTGAACTGAAAGTGACCGAATGGGGTATTTATTGCTGTCTTCGGAATATCTGTTTCTTCTATTCGAATCTGATTGTAACCGGACCTCAGATCCAGCTTGGTGAAATACGCACTGCCTTGGACGGTATCAAAGAGGTCGTCAATATTCGGTAGGCATGCCTTGTTCTTAATGGTTATGCGGTTTAGCTCACGCCAGTCGCATACCATTCGAAGTGTTCCATCCGCTTTCTTAACGAAGAACACAGGGGCTCCGTATGGGGATTTGCTGGGCTGGATGAATCCTCTACGGAGCAGCTCGGTGAGCTGAGCTTGAAGCTCATCCATCTCTGGTTTTGGTAAACGATATGCTGCACGAGATGGCGGTTTAGCTCCTTCTTCCGTTTTTATCTCGTGATCTGCGCCTCTTCTGGGTGGCAGCTTGTTTGGAAGCTCATCGGGAAAGACGTCCCCGAACTCGTTCAGCAGGTCCTTGACATCCATCTGATCCTCCCTACCCGGACTATCCACCGTCTGTGGCTCATCCGGATCTGCTGTCACATACGCTAGGATTCCTTCTGCGCCACCTCTCATTGCATGCCTAGCCTGCTTCCCTGAGATGAGGAACGTCTCGATCGGTGGGTTGGATTTGTCCGTGCCATCACTTTCACTCGGTTGACAGATGATGGATCCACCCTCCAGCTTGATTTCATTGGTACGAAAATTGATCTGTGGGTTCGTCCGGGTCAGCCATGGTTTGCCGAGGATCACGTCATACCGCGTCATAGGGAATACTAGGAACTGTTGGTGCTCGCTAAAGTCGCCGACTACGGTCTTTAAGCTGTCCGTTTTCGTAATAGGCTGTGAGCGGACCGATCCATCAGCAAGTGTGACGTTCAGGACGTCGCTACCGGTTGTTGTGGAGATGTTGTGCTTCTTGACAAAGTCAGTTGAAATGAAGTCGTGGGTTGACCCAGAATCCAGTAGCATGGTAACGCGACGTCCATTTATCTTGCCCTGGACGCGCATTAGGTCGTGTTCATTGTCGGCGGAAATGCTCCCTGTGCTGGCGGTTACTTCATTAGGCCGGCCAACAGTATCAGGTGACGAATGCTTGACAGGCGAGGCTTGAATTTCGGTCTCCTCGAGGCGTGGTTCCTCATTTGCTAAGGGGCTGAATTTGTTCTGAACTTTGATTCGTGGCCTATTCCTGGGTGCTCTCGTGTTCGCCAGTAGTCGCACTCCCTTCCTTACTGGCGTCCATCGTTTAAAGAAGGCTTGCTTGTGGCGTTCCTCCCTCCTTCTGGACAGAATCTGGCAATATGGCCGGGTTTCCTGCAGGTGAAACACAGCCTTGAACGACCCTCTGGCTCCCTGGTTTCTCTCCCACCGGATGGTGTTGGTTGGCTTGACCAGGGTCCAGGCTGGCGCCTCTGATGCCCTGGTGCGCGCACTGCCTTGGCGTAGCTTGCTTGGGCTAGCCGCATCGACTGGTCTGCTGAGACCGCAGCTCGTATGGCTTGGGCCAAATGTTGCGGATGCTCCCTAAGTACCTCACCGCTTAGGCCCTGAGCCAGCCCACGCGTGAACAAGATAGCTCTGGAGTGGTCATCAAGCTCGGGAACTTGTAAGCTAAGCCGCGAAAATTTGTTGATGTATTCGTCAAGAGTCTCATCTTGGTGAAGAGCGAATAAGTCGATGCGCGCCTGTTCCCTGTCATAAACCTGGCCGTACACTTCTCCCAGCTTGCTTTTCAGGTCTGGCCAGTCGGAAAACAGGGTGTTTGCCTCCTGAGAGGCGATAAACCAAAGACGAGCGTTGCCCTCCAGAAAACTCGCCGCGTAGCTCAAGCGCTCCTCCGCGTTGTCCAGCTGCAGGGACTTCATGGCGAGTTCGATGGCGAAGGCCCACTCCTTGAACTCTCTTGTATCTCCACGAAACACAGGCGGAGACTTAACATGGCGCATGCGTGGCCTCTCTCCGCTGGGAGCTTGAGCACGTCTTGGCGTTTGATCTGATCCATCGCACTGACCGAGTGCGATAAGGTGATTCAGACGCTTCTGAATCTCGAATATACCGTAGGCGACTAATGCGGCCACTGCGCATAGCCCGAACACGACGAAAAGAACAACCATCCTCTTGCTACCAGTGTAACAGTCCAACTAACTTCAGTAGTCATTCTTGGAATAAGCAATGATCCTTGCCATAATGCATTCTTATATACATGAACAAGCAATGATGGACATAACACCTAACAGCAGCAGCGTGATAATAGCAGGTGATAAGTGTATCCTATTCCTAGTGTTAGTAGTAACAGTGAATCTGTTACACCTACTCGTGTATTTGTTTCGAGGGATTCACTATCCGAGATACTCCTAATGGTACTCAATGTTTACAAGTAGGTAAGTAATTTGCAATGATCAAATGTACTTTAATGTAGGTCTGTTGTGTGTCTGAAGGAGTTGTGAGATATTTTATGTCAATTGCGTCTTGTTGGATATCTGGTGAAAAGATTTCCCTCTTATGTTATTCACAATCGCGCTTGAGGCATTATCCTGTATAATATTATAGTTATGAAGTATGGAGGAAGTGTAATCTTGTGAAATTGAGCACTGATTGGCTGCGGCTAACAGAGAGTTTTGATGATCGCACTTGTACGATCAATATTGGCGAACAGCTACTTGTCCTTTTTGATATGATTATCTGGGTATGCGGGTGTGTGCCAATGTGTTTTTGTTGTCTGTATAATTGCTCACTCTGATCTCCATCGCTGCTATTCATACACATCACTGGTCCACATCGCTATATTCCGATATAGATGAGTGCAAATCCGGCACTCACAGCTGTAACAACAAGACCAATGGTGACAACAGGTATTGTCAGAATTTGAACGGATCTTACGACTGCCCATGTCTGCCTGGTTACAATGGTGCCGATTGTGATGGTGAGTGATATGCTCAGATTCCTGTCTCCTTATTGTGGTTCATATCTTAACAACGATGAAAAAAGATTACATGCATGGCATGAGCAACAATGTATACGTATTTGAACGTCGCGTTCATTTGACTGCCACGAGACTTTTATCATGATTACAAGGGGAAACGTACCACAACATACATTACCTTATTTGCTGGAGTATAATGGCAACGTTTGGTGCACTCAAACTAGTGAAGATTTGATACATATTATGCGCGTTTTCAGGCCCCAAATTGCAGGTGTTCACTAACGTGATGCTCGGAGTATGATAATGTAATTATACCAAAAATTCAGATATTTAGCCAGTAGTCCTAAGATACTAAGACATTCAGCGACCTGGCATTGGAACTTTCCGGACCTGAGATTTCCAAGTTGGAATGCAGTTGGTTTGCGCTTGGTAGATGTGTTGAAGCTAGGTGTCAAGACGTTGAATGTCTCATGCCCTGTCAGTTTTATGCCTTGTGGTCGTACTACCTGACTGTATATTATCTTGTTACCTTGGTGGACTGTTAGTCGGAACAATTAACTGGGAGGTACAGTATGGGGTAAGATGAAATGTCGGGATACTGCACGAGTCTAATTGGCTTGGTGCGAGGAGTGCATTGCATTAGAAACAAAGGCCGCGCGCAGTATCGCAACCTCTTCGGACTAAGGCCATTCAATTCAGCGTCCAGAAGACGCCGTTCAGAAGGCTCCAACTTCGTCCGTAGTTCCATAAGAAGGAAGTGACGCTTTCAGAGAAATGTACACACAAAAACATAATCTAGTCTCCCTCATTGCCGCAGTAATTACGCCAGTTTCATTATAACTACGACCAATAGGAGCATAGGAGAAAGGAGGCGTCTCAGCTGGTTCGGACCCAGACCAATGGAATCATACAGTTCCTGGAAGACTAAAAGTAGGGACATTTTGATTTTGGGCGATACAGTGGACTTACCTTTTTTGGCTTTCCATCTGTACGTGATACATTCCTTCTCTGCATCCCACTCTGTTTTCTAGCAATGACTCCATCCACAAGTTCTCATCAGCTCGATACGGCAACACGTCCACTATCAAGGGATTCTGATCCCATATCGATCGCAGTGCAATCAACTATGATAAAGTCAACAGCTCAGCCAGAAGCGTCCTATACTCTCTACATCATCATAGGATCTATTGTATCAGTCTTACTTTTTGTTGCTGCTTTGTTTATTATCATTGTTGTTCGTCGTAGCAAGAAAAACTCCGCACCTCCCGAAAACTCAACGAGGACAGTTTGTGTACGGCGAGACCCATCCTACACGACCCACCTCACTGAAAATGAACTCTACGTCCTGCAGTCTATTCCCGAGAATGGCAACATTTCACCGCCACTCACGGGGAGCTCCAACGACGCACCACTACACGTGACACCAATCCTTATGACAACCAAGATTGTTGGTACAACAACGTTGGGTTTCTTCCCTACTGAGTCATGTGACGCCTGCGGATCTATAAGTCGCACATCGGAACCCCACGTATCAAAAATATCATTATTCTAATAACCATGCGCACAAATATATTCCAGTTTTTTTTTCGAATGCACCTGATGCTCGTGATGTACCCATCTACGAATACACCACACTATCCTTTCACTCAACGACTCTTCAGACCAAGTATCTCCCTTATGACGAGATCCATGGTCAGGACACGCAATATTCTGTGGTGGTACCTACACCGGCACCACACCAGACCTAAGTTTACACCTCCTGTGCTTCTAAAAATCCATCGCGTGACGCTAACACGATACGAACCGTAGCTATAGGTCTGAATCCATGTTGATTAATTGGTGAAATCCATATGTGTACCTTTTTATTTTTTTTCCTTTTCTTCTTTTACGTTTTTTACAGTTTTAGTTATCTTCTTGGCGGATAAGCTGCGAATAAGACCATTCTCATTCAGTTGGAAGATGTTGTATTTTAACTCATTCCTTCATTGCTTCTGCACGTCGTGTAGAACTAAGTAATTTGTGTCAAAAAGGTGATGACTTCAATCTCTTTATTACATCTCGTGCATAATAACGTTACGATGAATGAAGTCATCGACCAATTCCACTTGCCTTGTGAGTCAGCTTTATAGTTATTTTCTCCCCTGTGTGACTTCATGTGCTTTTGCACACCTTGCGATATTGCACATCCTTCTTTGCAACTCGCTGTACTCAGAGGGTGTTTAATCCTGTACGCCAATTTCATCATTTTTCATTGGTATTCAAACATTGTATGCTGCATTCACAATGCTACTGCGCTAATTTCTGTTCGATATTTCCACGTACATTGTAGTTTCACGGCATAGGTCCTATCACTTGTCTCTCTGCTAGCCGATGCATTAACATAATATTACTGTCATCCTCGTAGAGTTTGAACATGGAACTGAGGATATTTAGAGCCATTGAAGCAGTGTGGCTGTATATTGCGCTAAATGCTTTCAAACGCTAACAGTCCTTTGAAAACCATGAGTAGAAGGCGCATCGGGTGGGAATGTGATATGTTCAGAAGTTTGCTATTGACGTGTGGACTGAATCAAGTGCGGTTTTTATGCAAGCTGTGCGGCTTTGGTAGTTGTTTGACTAATACTCTGTGATTATAGAGTTGGATAGGTTACATGGTGTTGCCTTTGCAGGTACTTGTTCTAGTATCAGCAATGGAATTTCAGTTATCAATGACTTTTAACTGACCATAACGCATGTACATGTATCTCTAGATGTAGATGCTACAAGTAACAGCAGTAATCAACTTCAAGTGAGCAGATAGGGAACCGGATTGGTTAACTTTACACCGGATAGGATATGCTTCCAGCATCTGCCGCACGTATGGCTGTATCACTAGCCAACCTGGAAGCTACTAACTAATCAAAGAGTTGAATCTGCCTGATAGTCAATTATTCATAAGTCGAGGATGTGCCTAGAACGTTACATTTTTTTGTTGCAGGCGAGTATCGCTGTTCGCTTTGCTATCAATGTGGATTCGCTACCGGAGATGTGTGCATTGCAAAACTCAATAGATCTACCATCCGTTGCCAAACATCCACATGCTGTATATCGCCCGGAAGCTATAGCACTTGAACATGCTGACGTTAGTTCATGAAGTAACTTGTAAATGCCTTTCCGTGTTGGTCTATTTTCTAAAACAATATGGTATGGGTTGTCTCGACCACATTTTGTTTGCTCTATTCCGGTAACACACGAGATTTTCTGTCATTGGGTCTGATGAATGTTGCGGCTTAGACTAGTAATGATATCAGCTGACTTGTTCCGAGACGTAGCACCAGAGAGATCTAAATAATGCCAATAGTTCATTTTAAAACAATTTAAAGAGAGGGGTGGGTGTACTCGGGGAACAAAAATGTCTATAAAGAGAGTGGTCTGTACAAGGGAGAACAGAAATAGGTAGACGAAATGTGTCTGACACTTCATGACGTTTTTAAAATGCTGACTAGAGTAGTCCTGAAGAAGCATTGCAATTTGACAGTCCTGATTTTCTACAACAATCCATCACCAGTACAAGTTGGAATTGGTCGATGGACTCTTGAACTTGTAACTTATTTTTCCGGTTTCCTGTAGTCTTGTCAACTGCGTCACCAACCCCAACACAATAGACCAATCCCGAAAAGGTTGTCTGGGTTCGAAAGGGGGCATGTCAACTGAGAGTACACTGTACAACACATACATGGCACTACTTGATCAGCATGCGGCACAGGACGTGTTTGATAGTTCGCGTGTGAATGCGAGGGTAAGTACACGATTTTCTCGTTAGTTGCATGCAAGGCCAAGAGAGACGATGCGACAGAAAGCGAAGCCCTTTGTAGTTTTCTCTCTCGCACTGGTAATGGTCTGCTGTTGGAGTTGAAATGCTAAGACATAATCCTTGTTTCGCTCTTCTGTGTAGTGTGAAGAGTTCAACGAACATGTAGAGCTCACTTTGATGAAGTAGGCAAGGCTGTGAGCGCTGTGGCTCAAAGCGATAGGCCCTAAATCTTACGAGATATTTCGAGTGCTATTGTTTGTTGCGAGCGCTTCGTCTTCGATGAGTCCTGCCTCTTTCCTGGCAGCTGCCCTCCTATAGGACCAACCACGAAGTTACTGTACTCATCTGCAGCCGATCAATGTTATACTGCACAAGAAGATATCGTTTTCGCAAGCCAGTGCCCCGCCAAAGACCATCGCCGTGTCACACCGTCGGAACGAGTTCATGATGAAAAACATCATTCGCGCGAGCGTGATGAAGAACTATTTCGAAAAACAACATAGTCTTTACCCCCGGGACGACAACTATGTGCACGTCCTGCAAGGGAAGAATGTCACCAGCGACATCAACGAAGACGACGGCAGTATTTCGGAAACCTGGAGTCAGCGGAGGTCGTCAAGCTCCTCCGCGACCCAGTACATGTACAGTATAGGTGACATGTCGACACGAGCGTGCGGAAACACAGCATACACTGTAGTAATGTTGCGAGAGTTCGCGGAAGGAGTCCAAGTCGGGAAATCCATCAGCTCCAAAAGCTACCTGTAGGTGGGCGATGAGACTCCAGCTTCAGACTACAACAGTCAGGACTTGTAAATAGTTGAACTTTGTGAAGCAGCAGATCGAGAAGTATTAGTTAGCTGAAATCGTAGCTGTTGCAGTATGTCGGCGCTATGTAGCTTGCATTTTTTACGGAGAGTCGATCGCCACGCGAATGTTTCTCTCCTCACCGAGAGCTATCTGGCCTCCAAACTCCGTCAGGGTCTGCCTAAGGTACCGAAGGTCCTTTGACTAGATGCTGGCAGGACTCCATCAAATCCTTTAGCTTCAGCTCGGCGAGCAAAAGTCTCTCTCTCCTCCGCCATGAGCTGACACACACAAACTGAATACAAAACGATGCACTTCACACGTGCTGGCTTGCACGCGTGCCCCCTTTCACGAACCCAGACAATCTTTTCGGGATTGGTCTATTAGGCCACCCTTTCTTTTTTCGTTGTTTAACGTCCGCGCCCGCGTACCTTTTTGCCTCCGACCGAAAAAAAAACAAGAAAGTAGTAGTACCAATAATATGCGAAGTTGTAAATACATGATTGTTTAGTTTCACAGTGTGCCGATCATGACCTTAAACTTATAATCTTGCCTCCCGGGCATGCCTTTGTCTTGTGTTCTTTTTCTTTTTTGTTGGCTTTTAAATATCGTACGGTGTGTGTCCTAGTAAAAATCCAGATGTAATGAATTCATGACATGCTAACTCAATGCTATGTACCTTTTTTGTTGGATTCATCAGGCATGTGCTCCAATGTACCATCAAAGAGTGTTGTTCTATGCCTGCAAGTGCCGTTAGACCCAGATATATTGTATATATCACATGCTTTACGGGTCAAAATGTTTGATTGGGGTTTCCAGTTTTTGGAATGGGCTTTTGTTTTTTTCCGCCCTCCCGCGTACCTTTTCGCGAAAAAAAGGACGTTACACAATGAATTAACAAAGGGTGGCCTTACACAAGGACTTGAAAACCGTTGCAGCACGAACATCGCTCCGAAATACTACAGCTACTTCAACATGAGCAACTCATCTCGTCAGTACGCAAGTGCCAAGGTCACCATCAGGAAAAGTACGGAACGACAAGACTTTGCTGGTGACTCTGTCGACTATTAGTGTAATACTTATTGCTTTGCTGGTGGCGCTTACACTCCGGAAGAGAGAGAATATATTGATATTATTTCAGCGCAATTCAATCGCTTGGCCCACAGCTGTTCATGGACATGTTAATATGGTTCACGCAGACCGCACAGAGACGGAAATGTCCCTTCAACAGCCGAATCGAACGCTCCCGACATACACGGGAATAGGAGACGAATATACTACCGTTTCCGTTGCCATTGGGATTGCCCGGATTGAAGATCATACATATTCCCTTTCCACGGCACCCACCGCCGAATCTGCTGCTACTGCAGGGATGCACTCCCAGCCTCCGAACCGAATGGAAAACGTCTACACACTCGGTGAAGGATTGCCAAACGAATACGCTAGTGTTCCTGACCAAAAGCAGCAGAATATGCAGTGTGAATACTCTCTTGCAACAGCCCCGAATACTGGCTCTACTACTAATGCAGCGAGGCATTCCCAGCTTTCGAATCGAATGGAAAACGACAACATAACAAAGAATCGCCAAACGAATATACTTGTGTTCCAGACCATATGGATCAGAGTGTGGAATATACATAAGCCCTTGCCACTGCTCCAGGCAATGAATGAATTGTGTTGATCACACGGGGAGATGTGCGGGCGCTGTGTCAAGCAGCTTGATGGGGAGCACAGATGGTTATGGCTACGCTTTAGCCACGGCTCGCACTTCTATTCCCAACCGCAGGACCACACCATGCAGCTCCAGATCCACGTCTGATTCAACGTATGTGTCTAACACCTCGGCCAAAAATCAGAGAGCAATGGTGACTAGGAAAGATCCCGAAAACTAAATGGTTGGAATGGATAGACCTCCTGTCAATGACACTCTGGCTGGCATGCCACCTCCACTGCCAAATGAATCCTATCGCGGGACATGTTCAGAGCAAAAGATAGCATTAATTCTCAGGCGAAAGAAAAGTACCAGAGAATCCATCAGATTATCTTTCTCCCTCCGACTGACTGTTACCCTACCTTTGCAACGAAGTGATAGCCAACGTTTTAGCACAATGTCCAGCCTTTCAATATTCTTTTCTCACGACTAATTGCTTTCCTTTAAGTATATTATAACTTTCACGCAATATCCTGACACCAAACTCGCATAGGTGGAAACAAACAAGGGAATGGAGCAAGGCCGAACCAAAAGGACAGCAACTGAATGGAGTGCAACGGATGATAAACGTCCGTAAGAGTTGGAAACATACTTCTCTTTGCTGTTTTGTTATCCATGTGTATGTGTGAGAGTGTGTGCGAGTACAAGTGTTCGTGTATGTGTGTGTGAGAGAGTTTTGTGCCTAGAGCATTCAGCACTGCTTCTACAACTGGTGCAACATTTTTCTTGTTTATAATATTATGCCATTGCGGAGTGCTTTCACATTGCAAAGCTGTATGAGCGGATAGTATTTTCCTGTGTAGATCTGTAAGACGTACAATGCATTTTTGACCATTCCAGACACTTACAACAACAACTACCAAGTACATGTGTAGTGTTTTTCGGGACTTTGAAACTCGTGATCTTCATAGTCATAATCCACATGACGTGTTGTTTTTATCTTTGTACTCAGCTACTGTCTACTGCGCAAACTGATCGTCATGAGTCACAATAGAAGTGTTAGCTTTGTATAAGTACTATTTGTATATCCTCAGAATTCAACTGCACGCCATTCCTAATTTGCATCATCAACTTCTGATTTCATTTAGGACTTGCATGTGCAGTCTCAAATGGCTATGGAAGAGCAAGAGAGCAGCTGCGCAATGGTTAATGGGCAGCCAGTACAAACAGGCGGCTGAGATATTCAATTTGCTGATACTTGTTTGCAAGCTGGACCAAGTCAGCTTCTAATTCTCACGTGGAAGCCTTAGCTCGTGTTATGGGAATCTAAACATGGCTGCCGCATCACCAAAGGTGTCAAATTTGCAAGACTTCCCCATGGGCAGCAGGAAAGTGTACATAGTACGTAGTATCTGAGTTACACTTTATCTCAAAATACTTTGGTTTGGATCATGACACCAGTGCATGGACCAGTATGCGTTCTAAGCAGGAGTCGGCCCTAGTACTTACCTCAATGAGCTCTATTGTATTGTTAGAGACGCTAACCAAGCATGGTGCACACATGGTAAACCACACGATTCACATCAGGGCCAAGCGGATGCAGTTTCACTGACGCCCAAAGAACTGTATAGTCATCAGTAGCCATTTGGACAGCAATCGTACATGCTGCACCTAAAATGTAATCATACTGATACATAATAGAGTGATACACAGAGCCATTGATCCTGTATGTATGGATACGTGTAAAATCTGCCGTCACTGAGCTGCGGAAAAACAATACGAGAGCAATCAGCTCTGCTTACATTTGTAACCGCTTTGGGTGAACACTAGCTATCAGACTTGTTTTGTGTATGGTCTGTCCGATTCTCATCCTGTGGGACGCGTGCTTTGCTTTGCTCAATCCGGGCGGGAACTATGACATATTCTTTGCAAAACTCCTCTCAATGCACTTCAAATCTTAATCAAGTTCGTTACGTGCCAAATACACTGTATGCACTCTAAAACTGCACACACAACGATCAGAGCATACGGTCACCCTCGCTCACACGTTTTAACAGTCTCTTCGTCTAGGTCTCAGTCTTGTTTATAGATTGGACCTCCCACCCGTCCGGCCGTGACTCGATGATCCCAAACACTACCAAGCCTAAGACACCATACTGCATGCAACTAATGATCAGCAACAGTCCATTTATGGTAATCACACAAACATGCACAATCCGCTGCCTGACCTCAACATATTGCGATCTGCTTAGGACCTTTCTTTAGACACCATGACTCGCTGGTGTGCCAAACAACTAGACAAACGTGCAGTGCAAGTCTTTGGCAAACCAGAAGACACATTGGGCGAGGTCATCATTGATAGCGGTTTCCAACGACACGTTGAACACGTTAAACATGTCCATCTCCTTGATTCGTGGGATGTGTGCCAGCCAATGTTGTACACATTTTGTAAGAGAACAGCTGGTATTCGTATGAGTTACAGCCATGACGCCACAGCTGTCGTGTGTAGAACCATTGTACCTTTTCGCTACCTGCATATCAGTGCTAGGGTGGCACACTGGATCTGCAGTAGTGTATCATTGGTCACATCCCCACATGTATATGCATCAGGCATGCTGGTGACCTGCAAAGTGCTAATCATCTTAAGCTGATTGCGCTTCTAACACCATTGCATAGCCGGTGGCAACACGGATGTCAGAACGTTGCTTTTCTAACGTCTCGCCGGCAAAGTGCATCTTTGTGACCGACTCAAATCATTTCGTACACAAATTGACATTGGAAAGCTACTCTGTGGAGAGGCTCCATACTGATCAGTGCTATTTTCATGAAGATATTCTTCAGATTGGCTTCGGTCTCGGAAAAGGTCAGTCTATGATTGTGTGGATCACATCGAGGAAGGATTGCCTCAGCAACTCGTACCCAATTCTACCACTTGTTGGCTTGACCTGGGTTGGAACGTCGTCTCTGTCCTGATACTTACACAATTGTGTGATAATGGTGCACTTGTCAGGTAATGATGGTAGATAGTGTCACTGCTACATTGACAGCGAAAATATCCGCCCCAAACAATTCATTTTGTTTTCCTCCAGCCCATCATTGTTATACTTGACTGGTCTACACAACTCACTTTCTTAGAAATCATAAAGTGTATGACCACCACTTGTTGATTGCATACGTTATACAACTAGCAATGTACATACGTACATAGCTAGCGGTAGATTAATACTTTGCTTCGTGTTGTCCTTGCTGCCCTCTGCATTACAGTCTGTGTCCAGACCAAATACAGTTGGATCGTACTAGTGACGACACTGGTTGTGATCACAACTGAGGTATGGTGTTTGACGCCAAGATGCTTTCCAAAAGCTCATCACCCATATACTGACGAAGGCAGGAACGGGGGATTAGAAACATTCAAGTGGTATACACCTGGTACATTATCAAATTTCTACCTCCGCCACAATCGTGTTTATAGCACATACTTTGAGTTTAACGGGAGCTGCACTATTAAAGCAATAGGCATATCATTCACGGCACTTGGAAGATGTCGCGTCTCACTTTCGTCTAAGTCGTTTGACCACAATGGTTGGTCAAATGAAAGGTCAGTCAGGTTCAGCCATAGTTGTAAATATGGATTTCGTCACAATCTCCATTTCTCCGTGCAATCATCACATGGGTTGCAAATCAAATTCACAGTCCGGAGTCCGCCATCACGTCCTCTCAGCCAGTGTGCGTTTAAACTCAATGAAGCACGTGAACCGTACATCGCCTTGCAGGTTCAAGAAGGTATGTTATTTTAACTCCTTCGTTAGTTAGGAAATCTTTCCATTTAGGCGGGCGCAGTATACCACAGTTAGTCGCTTTTCTAGAATGTGTTTTATTGAACACCTTGAAAGATGTTCAGTACAGTGTACAGCAATTTTACTGAGTCATTTTGGTACATTATTTATATGTACAGTCATGTATATTCCTGCTGCTAAATGTATTTAAATGTACGTGGACCAGTGCCCTCTGTATCATTTGCATGAAGTAGAACGGTCATTTCGAACTACTTGAATATCCGAAGGCGAAAAATAGAGAAAGTATAAACTCATCATTGGAGATATACTTGCAAACCTTTATTTCTAAAATGACCTCTACAATACTGCTAGTAACTTTGAAAATCTTGCTCTTGGTTGTCCCATCTAAGCACCCGTTTTTCTGGTTTTTCAGAACGCATATCTGTGGTGTAGCATCGCTCGAAATCCTTTTTCTTTCCATTCTTGGGGGTTCGTATAAAATGAGGTCTCAATCTCATAGATTCGTATGTCAGATTGCAGATATTAGTGGATTAGCACTGTCATGCTCGGAATCCTTTGATTTCCTTTCCTGGGGTTTCGCATAATAATTATAATAATATAGTCGCGCTACTGTAGAAAACAGTGGTGCACAAGTTGTGCCTTGCATTCAATCATCTATGCCAGATGTTGCCCAACGTGGAATGTCTTAATACTCGATGTCAGTTTGTTGCTAGATTATCTACGCCAACGTCTGGTGTTGTCGGTGGACTCTTATGCATAACTTGTGGGCTGATGTTTCCATGTCTTCAATTAATAATATTTCCTTCGCTCTCCATTCGAGTTCATTCTCAAAGATTCGTTAACCAGAATTGTTGATGTAAGCTAGATATCCACTCGCATAATAAGATAAAATACCAGTGGGATCAGCTGTATGATAATCACCTGTGGTCCTGAAACCAGTGATTATACATATACCAGTACTTGAAGTACATATGGTTGATAAATATTGTGGTAAACACACGCCTGCCCACACACGCTCTCTAAGCTGCAAAGTTCTGGCACAGTAGAGCTCTGTGCCAGAACTTTGCAGCTTAGAGAGCGTGTGTGGGCAGGCGTGTGTTTACCGCCATATTGCCAGGTGTGTCTTTACCACCATATTTATCAACCATAGGCACAGCTGCAGTGGTGTCTTCAACTTCATTCTACTTGAAGTACATGTAACTTAAAATGAATCAGAATCGTTGCGTTCCATGTCTCGTGCATGATCAACTATTGTGAACAATTTAATCAATGACTGCCCAGCATTTTTCAATATTCCCTTCAGATCACGATGAATGTTCAGCATCGAATCATCTCTGCTATGGATATTACAACCCTTCATATTGTACAAACACGTGGGGATCCTTCAGCTGTACGAGGACTTGCCCGCGTGGATATCGACATGGATATGGCCATATTTGCAACGACATCAATGAATGCGCTTTGTCTTCTACGCCTTGCTATGGATATATCCGCAGGGATAATGAGCCAGACTGTGTGAACACTCCTGGAGCCTATCAGTGTATTTGCCGGCAAGGTTATGAGATTGTCAAGAAGGGAGACCGATTTCAATGCCAGGATATTGATGAATGCTCTCTTACACCTCACCACTGTGTTGCGTACTCTGCGCAAGATCCTAGAAGATGCGTGAACAGTATGGGGTCCTACTCGTGTAATTGCGTCGAGGGATACTAGTAATAGAACCATATGTGTAGGTAAGTAGTTATTCATGTACTTTAGACCTGGGTATATCTCGTGTCTGAAGCTGATACGCCATGTGGTTTAATTCATGGCTTCTTGCAGGGTTTATGGTTAAACGGTTTTGCCCGTGCGCACTGCATTCTCCATGTCCTCCTAAGGTCATGCCCTCGTTCAGTAGCTCAGCCGCCAGACACAATCAAATACAATGTAGATGTACACAGAATGATCATTATTGTACAGTCATTCAGGTACAGAGTAAGTGTACATGTAGGCACGTGTACATGTATGTCTCCAGAATACCTCCAGAATATTAGTAGACACGTGATGACACTCTCAGCTCCCCCCCCCCCCCCCTCCACACACACGCAAACAAAGACCATACATGTACGCAATAGGTTCTCGCCTTAGACAGTGCTAACTTTCTCAGACACCGAGTCTGGTCGCTGGCAGCTGGTTCTGGTGGCTGTGGAGTATCCCTGCCCGACCAATACGGAAGTAGTACGGAACTAATACGGAGCTTTGCCTGATGTATAGTTAGTGTATCTCCGTATGTAAGCGTACGGCGTCTGCTGCATAAAAGCGGCTGCGCATTTCTGTTTTGAAGAAGATGAGAGATTTTGATAATAACGAGCTATTCAACCTCCAGGTGTGCACCAGAGAGAAAGTCAGTTATTTTGCCGTTTCTTCTTTCACTAATAATTATATCTCAGGTGTGTATCTTAAAGAAGTAGAATAAAAGTAATTTTTGTTGATTTCACCGCGCCTACCACTCGGCTACCCATTACATTGGTGGCAGCGGTGTAGTTTTAAATAAAACAACGTGATTCGACCCCAGACCCCCATGGCTCAACCCGCTACAGCTCCGTGCGACGAATCAAGATGAGAATCATGTTTCTTGCCTTCCTCGGCCTGGCACTGCTTATTAGCCTGCAGCTCAGTCAGGGTGCTAGCGTGGATCACCCTTCTCTCCGCACGGCACACTGAAGACTCCGATGGCGATTCCAAGCGACCCCCTACCTACATGTATACTACCGGTGGTGATGGCGAAGCTGATGAGGACGACAACAGGCAGGCTGCTGCCCAAGACAAGGAGGGTAGTCCCCAAGATCAGCAGTCGGAAGCAGGAGCCCACTCTTCACTTGGTACTTCGCCTCCGTGGTGGGATGCAGATTTTCGTCGACACTCTTCCTGGCTAGACCATCACTCTTTACGTCGCGCAGAGCAATGCTATCGACAATGTGAAGACCTCGATTCAAGACGAGGAGGGAGGTTATTTGTCTGACGCCGAGCTAGCCGCTCTGAGTGCCCGGCTCAACCAAGACGAAGATAAAACCTGGCTCGCCCTCCGCTGTAGCTCCAGCCGCCGCCGTGGTTACTAACGCTGATTCTAGGTATGGCATTTTCTTTCCTCTCTTCCTTCAGTCTCCCTGTTCTTTTCAGTCTTCCTTTATGCGAGTGTGTGAATCCAGTTTAGTTTGGTAGGCGTCTGATCATGGTGAGCCACGGTTTACCCAGCTAACGTGGGACAATGTGTGTGACAACGCCCCTTATAGGTATAGTGTATTCAGTTCGGTTTTTGACCTGCGATGTTCCTGGCGGGTTGTGCCAGCGTTGTGTAGCAAGAGTGCTGTGGTTTTTCAGGTCCTATTTGGAGGACATTTCTTTCCCCTTTTAACCCCGTGAGATCGTGTGAACCTGGTGTGCTTCTACTTTATGATTTGTTATCAGTTCATTTCTTCTGTCTACTCTAAACGTTATCATTTCCGATATAATTTGCCATCTTCCGGTTGACGCTGTGTTCATAACTCTTCACTAATTTTTTGAAAATCACGAGGGCGTGATTATCTGTAGAAAGGGAGGGGGTAGTATCCCTGCCCGACCAATACGGAAGTAGTACGGAACTAATACGGAGCTTTGCCTGATGTATAGTTAGTGTATCTCCGTATGTAAGCGTACGGCGTCTGCTGCATAAAAGCGGCTGCGCATTTCTGTTTTGAAGAAGATGAGAGATTTTGATAATAACGAGCTATTCAACCTCCAGGTGTGCGCCGGAGAGAAAGTCAGTTATTTTGCCGTTTCTTCTTTCACTAATAATTATATCTCAGGTGTGCATCTGAAAGAAGTAAAATAAAAGTAATTTTTGTTGATTTCACCGCGCCTACCACTCGGCTACCCATTACAGCTGTGTCCACGTCCTGGCTGTCGACATTGCGTGTGCGTTTGACCGCGTGTCGCACCCTGGCATCCTACACAAAGCGGCCACTCTCAGTATTGGCGGTGGCCTACTCCAGTGGCTACGGGACTATCTGCGGAATCGCACACTAAGCGCAATCGTCAATGCTCAAAGGCAGCATTCTCGGATCCACCTTATTCATGATGTATGTCAACGATGCTGACACCTGTCTTTCCCCATCAACGCGAATGGGCGTGTACGCATATGACACTACGCTGTACACCATCATACGATCCAGAGATGACTCCGCTGGCAGGTATTGCAGACATGCAATCTAGCCTGGATCGATTGAGTAGCTGGGGAGAACAATGGCATGTTCACTTTAAGCCGACAAAGTCGCAGCTGCTGCATATTGGCCACCACCGCAACACCTGGCCATTCCCAGACCTAACATTCGGAGCCCATGATATTCCCTGCGGGGACGAGCTGAAGCTCCTGGGAGTGACCTTCGACAGCAAACTCACCTTCAGACGCCATCTCCGCAATGTTTCTCTTCGTGCTGTAGCCCGGCTGTAAACGTCTCACTTAGTCGGCTGAGGAATCATCGTCTCTTAGTAAAGAAGCAGTTTTATACATAAAGTAGAATAATAGGTGCCAAGGTTAGCCGTGAACAGTAAGTGCTAGAAGTTGCACAAGGTGTGCAACTGATAGGCGCGCACAAGCTGTGCAGTGATAGGCGCGTACATACATGTAGGTGTGCAGTGATAGGAAGGCAGAAGAAGGTGTAATGGTTACACCATCCCCCTCCTCTCGATTGTGCAAAACATAATAGAATGAAATACTTAAGAATACAATTCAGGATAAATTTCCTTTATAAGTTCTAAGTGGAACAACGTCTCTTCCGGACTCGTCCTTGAGAAATTTTTCTGGCTCCCAGGTTGTCTCATCATAACCCTTCCACTTAAGCAAAACTCGGGTGTGCCTTTGCATCCTCGGTGATCCAAGATTTCCTCAACACTCTACCTTGTTTTGCCGTCCAAATCAGTTATAAGCGGCGGAGGCGGCTGGCGGCGCCAATGAATTGCTTTCGGTTAGTATGGTTTCAGCGCGGTCACATTGAACACAGGGTGGCAGCGTAAGGTTGTCGGCAGGTTTAGGCGATATGCATTGTCATTACGGGAATTTACCTGACTGGGTGAGATGAGACCCATTAGCTGACTGGGTGACTCCAGGACTGGGTGACTTGGTGACTGGGTGATTCTGGGTGACTCCGTGACTTGGAGACTTGGTGTCTCCATATCTCCGTGACTTGGTGACTTGGTGACTGGGTGACTATGGGTGAATCTGGGTGACACTGGGTGAAGGATGGTCACGAAGTACCTGTTCTCGGACATCGCCGTGCAGCCCGTTGGTGAACAGCAGCGCCCTTGAGTGCTCGTCCAACTCAGGAACCTGAAGGCTTGGACCGTATACCTTAGCAAGCGCATCTCTTAGTGACGGCCAGTCAGGAAAGGTTTCACCAGCTTCCAGGGAAGAGATAAGCCAAAGGCGAGCGTCGCCTATAAGGAAACTAGCGGCATAGTTCACTTCTCTATCCGAACTGCCTAATTCCAGGGACCTGAGAGCCAATTCGATAGCGAAAGACCACTCCTTGAACTGGTTTGCCTCGCCACCGAACAATTGAGGCTCCTTCGTACAGGGCCGAGGTCTGGAGGTAGGCCGATTCTGGTTGACCGTGGCTACAATACCCTTCCAAGGAGTCACAGGTACTGTTGCTAGTGTTGAACCGTTGGCTAGTAGCCTAGCAACTCGCAGCAGCTCCCGAAAAGCGGCAAAAACCAGTAAACTGAGTACCAGGAACGATAAGACAGCAGGCGTCGGAAGGAACGAGTGCAAACTGAAGATAACCATTGATAACCATCCTCTTGCTACAGATGTAACCGTCTCACTTAGTCGGCTGAGGAATCATCGTCTCTTTATTAGTAAAGAAGCAGTTATATACAGTAAGTAGAATAACAGGTACCAAGGTTAGCCGTGAACAGTAAGAGCTAGAAGTTGCACAAGGTGTGCAACTGATAGGCGCGCACAAGCTGTGCAGTGATAGGTGCGTACATAGGTGTGGAGTGATAGGCGCGTACAAGGTGTGCAGTGATAGGAAGGCAGAAGAAGGTGAAACGGGCACCTGCAATGGCCCAGTCTGGCATGGCGGCGACACATCCAGTGCCTCCGGGAGCTCCGTCACCTGGTCCACCACCAGACCACTGCCCTTATGGAGCTGGGCTATAGTCTCTCCACCAGCGCGCGGCGCCCTCTCCAACTTGTACCGCCTGCCAGGGCGAACAGCTACTCGCGTGCCACCTTCCTCTTTGTTACCGCTGCCACCTGGAATTATCTCCCCACTGACATTAGAACCACCCAAAATAGTCATTGCTTTGTGTCTCGTGTCCGTACCATCTTTGCCAACACCCGCTTCAAACCCGCTGGTTTCATTCCTTCCAGAGTTTCTATAACATAATTTGAAGTCCGAACTTAGAAGTTGCGACTTCGGCGGTACAAACTTCATAATTTGAAGTAGTAAAGAATGGTATGGCCGATTTCTACAGTATGCATTTGTTATAACCCTTCCTCTTCTCAATCTATATGTTATAATTTTGCAGATCTATTCCCAGTAAGCCATGAACGGAGACCCCCCGACTTAGGCCTTCGCTTTTGGGGAATCCATAAATAAAATTAATTAAAAAAATTAAAATTACACAGGCTAGGATTTTTGCGTCGAGCATCAAGTTTTCTTGGTCGTGAAGGACGCTTGACAACGGACAAT